TAAACAAAAAAAACAGCTAGATTCTAAGGCGAATGTAGAAAACTAAAAACAGGAACATGTCTGCATTGGTCCCTGCCAGGAGTCCAACAGATTCTTAAAGCCACTTAGAGAGGTCAAGGCCGAGAGCTTCAAATCTTTTTGTAAGATATTCCAGGAAACAGGAGCGGAGTAGGAGAATTGGCTGTAATATAAAGATCAACTAAACTGAAGCACAAAATTCAAGTATGAAGCAAACAGCAGTCTTGGATTTAAAAAAAAAAAATTATTATTTGAGAGGTTGAAATGCAACTTATTATTTTTAAAACCACCAAGTTTGTCACTTTGTAGAGATAAGTCAGCCTGGTCATGAAAAACATCTCTACAGGCTGGCAGTTTAATGAAGTCTAAACTTTGTACAGCATCTTTTATTTTTTTTCCAAATAATGCTATAAATCACTACAGAACTTTAGAGGGTGGAACTAATGGAGGATTCAACGGCTTTGAATAGTCGGCAACTGGACTTCATTTTTTTCTTCAAGACGTTTCACCTCTCACTTCCACAAAGTGTCTTAAGGAAGTCCACTTGTCTTCTGTCCAGAGCTGTAGGATCGTCATGTCTGTTCCAAACTGTTGAACATTTCAAAGTGTGACATGGAAAGAAAAAAGTTTGTCTTTCATATGAACCTTTCTATCAGTCTTGTTCTCAATTCTTTGCTACAAGCTATAGCAGGTATCATTGATTTTTTTTTTTTATTATTTGCTTTAGTTTAAAAATAACACTTAAAAAATAGAATGCTGTTGCATTTAAAACTGAGTTTCTATGGCAGGCTAAAATATAAGGTCAGTACTTACACGTCTTCTTCTACTGCAGTACCCCCATGCTGTGGGTAAGAATACGCTTCTGATTGCTGGGCTCCAGGCCAGAAACAACGCCAGAGTGGTTTTCAGCGGCTCCCTGGACTTCTTCAGCGATGCCTTTTTCAACTCCGCTGTGCAGAAGGCCAGACCAGGTTCACAGAGGTACTGGATTTCCTTTATTTCTCTGTCTGCATTGAAAAACAAAAACTATTTAACAAAATGCTCACAAAGATCAAAAGTAAGTGTTCTTATCAAGACTGTGAAAGCATACAAGTTATTTAAAAGGAAGAAATCTTTCAAATCTTCACTCCTCTGGCTTTGGCAGGCATGAGCAGACGGGGAACATGGACCTGGCTGTGGCTCTGTCTCGCTGGGTGTTCAAGGAGGCAGGAGTTCTCAGAGTGGGAGCCGTTACCCATCATCCCGTGGGAGAAACCAGTCCTCCGGCAGCATACACCGTTACTGATCTCGTTGTGAGTTTTTACAGTCATTGTCGTGAAGATCTGTGTTTTAATTTTCCTCCTAAATCAGGAGTCCTGTATGTGAAAGTAAGACATTTTCTTTCAGGAGTACGGCATCGTCATTGAAATGTTGTCCGAGGGCCGCTGGGTCCCTTTTGACGGAGATGACATCCAGCTGGAGTTTGTGAGAATCGATCCCTTCGTCAGGACTTATCTAAAGAAAAATGGTATGCTGTTCTAGATTCAGCTTAAATCAATGACACCCAGTGGCTTTTAGCTGTAAACCACAATAAATGCTGCATTTTATTTTTTAGGAGGTAAATACAGCATCCAGTTCAAGCTGCCTGATGTGTATGGAGTCTTCCAGTTTAAAGTGGACTACAACAGACTGGGATACACACATCTTTACTCCTCCACTCAGGTAAGCTAATCAAAACAGTGGCATTATTCCGACTTGTTTCAAAATTTGGAATCGCACAGTAAATTAATAAAAGTAACACTTTCATCAACTTCACTTTACAACCGTTTATTTTCCACAGGTATCGGTGCGTCCCCTGCAGCACACGCAGTATGAACGCTTCATCCCCTCAGCCTTCCCGTACTACGCCAGCGCCTTCTCCATGATGGCAGGACTCTTCGTCTTCAGCGTAGTCTTCCTGCACATGAAAGAGAAGGAAAAGTCGGATTAATGCAGAAATATGAACAGTGTGGGGGGAAAACAAATGTGGAATTGAACTTGTGTTAATTAAAACTGAATGTCTTGGTGGCTTGAGTTGTTCAGTCTGGAACTTGGACTATTTTATTTTGTTATTAAGGGCACTCATGGTATTTGGGTCAAAAAGGGGGCTCTTGCTGCAGTGCGACGCAGTATGTTTTGTTGAAATGTACTTTGAAATATTCCAAAGCCAAAATGCTATAAAGTCAAAGTTGCTTTACATTGAATTAAAGTCTAAGCTAAAACAGTTAAAAATCATGTTAAAAAAATACATTTTCTCAATTAGGAAATGCCTTTTCTGGGTTAAAAACATGCACTGAAAATGCCAACTGTTCCCGTGTTTTATAAAGACGTTTGCATTTTGGGAAAAAAAGCTGGAGTTCTCTTAAAAAATAAAATTGACATTCCTTAATACGAGTGCTTGTGTCATCTGTTATGAGACACAATTCAACCTTTATTTAGGCAGATAAATCACATTTACAAGTGAGATCTGTTTAGATAGACGAAACAAAAAAAAGTAGTGAAGCAATTGTATGAATGCTTGAAATGTATGTTTTGCTATGTAATAGCGTTTTTCACTATTGGTACTCCTTGTTAAAGCATTTTCTCATAATTAGGGGAAAGGGCAGCTGCTTGGGTAAGGTTTGTTATTGGCTTTAACACTTCCAACCAGAACCAAAGAATAGAAGATAAAGTTTGATACTGACGCCGAAAACAAGAAAAGGTTATAATTATGTAAAATAAGTCACAAAAATAATGTATTGGTTTATTGTGCAACAACAAGTGTAAAATGTGAGCCTTTTTGAACGCCCTTCAGTCCTGGGACGAGTCACGTTTTAGTGACGTCATCCTGACAGTTGGGGTTCCGCTGAACGCACGTGTAGCATCTTAGCATCCGTTTTGTTGACGAGATTAAAAAAAGCAACAAGGTTAGCTCGCAACAACCAGGTGTTTTACCTGGTTAGCACAGCTGTAAGGTAAAGAATGCCAGCGATGTTCTCTGTGTTGGGAAACTTAAAAACCAGCTCGTCAACCTCAGTCAGTCGTTTAAGCTAACGTGAAAACATTTGGGCTAATCACAGGTTGGATGGGGACGTGCAGCTTCTTGCTTTAAAGTGAATTAGCGGCGGTGCAGTCAAAACGGCGTGTTCACAGCTTAATTAGAGCTGTAGCTTTAGTTTGGAGGAACATTTAGCGGAAGGTTGTTTAGCTAATGTGGGCGGTGTTAGCTTAACAAAAAAAAAAAAAACTGCTTTGTGAAAGTCAGCTGACCGCTTTCTGCTGGTGCCCACAGCCCGGTGATGGATCAACTGAAAGTCAAGGATCGCATATTGGAAAACATTTCTCTGTCCGTCAAAAAGGTAAGACCTGCTATTGAGTTGGGACAACACTTTATTGTCTTCAAACGTGTCTGCTTGACATTTTCCACACGCTCGAGTCATTGCAGCTAATCTAATGTTCTGTTTGCGAAAGGCAGGGCAACTTTCAAGCCCGGAGGACTTCGCTGTTACAAAAGGGCCTTAACCTCGCTGATAATAAAATTAACATGTATATGTGATCCACTTCTATGTTGTTGATCCAGTTCGTGGTTGTGTTTGGTGGTTTTTGTGTGTAATATTGGCACTGAGCTAACTGCGCATGCGTTGTAAACAAAGCTGCAGTCAGGTCTGCAGTGTAAAAGGGTTACCTGGCAGGTGTTTGTTCTTCATGTTTATTTAAATACTGACATTTTAAATATCTTTATTCGGACATGATTAGTCTATTGAAGGCATCCTGTCAATAACTCCATAGTTGGAGACTATAAACATCTTAGTGTGTCAAGTTATTTATCACAGGAACTTGCACAAGAAAGCTTCTTGTGTGTGTTTAGTGCAGTCAGCACGTTTCCTGTCATGTTACTTTAATTCTTATTTTTAGGATTGGTTATTTTGCCTCTGTTTGCAGTGAAATGACAACACACTAAGTATTTTATGAACTGTACCTCAGTATTAAAAGCAAATGAACATTCATTCGGCTGTTCATTCTCCACGGGTCACCCTCCTCCATCTTCTATTGTCCTCGTTCCAACTACCTCCATGTCCTCTCTAACTGCATCCATATATCTCCTCTTTGTCTTTGTCCTGGCAGCTGCATTTCTAACATCCTTCTACCAATATCACACACCATCACAGACATTTACACCTCCAATTGCAGGAAGAGGGCCACCTGCATCATGAAGGACCCCACTCACCCAGCACACACACTTTTTGCCCCGCTCCCCCTCACAGGAAGGAGGTTGAGGAGCATTAAGTGTAGAACCACTAGACTGAGGAACAGCTTCTACCCTGAAGCTGTTAGACGCATGACTCTCTAACCAGAATAATCACTGTGAAAAAAAATCACATCATGTTGCTGCTGATCAGTTTCATGTTGAGGTGTTCATGCGTGCACATCTGCTCTCACAGACTCATGTTCATGTTCATGCTGCTGTTCGACGTAATGTTTTTATGCTATTAGAGCTTAGTGTATTTTTAGTTGATGTTTTTCTTGGTTCATATCTTAGATGTTATCATTGTGTTTCTTTTACATTTTATTGTTGGATGTAACTGGGACCCTGTGTACATAATTTCATTCCACCACATGTACCACATGAGGTGCGAATGACAATAAAAAAATCTCTGACTCAATATACCCACTGTCCTTCTTCTGGACATGTCCAAACCATCTCAGTCTGGTCTCTCTAACTTTATCTCCCAGTTGTTCAACATGTGCTGTACCTCTGATGATCTCATTCCTAATCTTATCCATCCTTGTCACTCCTAAGGAGAACCTCAACATCTTCATTTCTACCACTTCCAGTTCTCCTGTCTTTTTGTCCATGTCTTTGTCTCCAGACCATACAACATTGCTGGTTACCACTGTCTTGTAAACATTTCCTTTGACCTTTGCTGACACCCTGTTGTCACAAATCACTCCTGAAACTTTTCTCCATCCACTCCATCCTGCCTGGACTCTCTTCTTCTCCTCTTTACCACACTCCCCATTTTCCTGGACAGTGGACTTCTAGTCCTGCACCTTTGTGACCTCTGCTCCTTGTAGCCTCATTGTTCCACCGGCCTCCCTCTCATTCACACATGCACTCTCTCTTACTACGATCGACATTCATTCCTCCTCTTTCAAGTGCATACCTCCACCGTACAGAGTTTACCTAAACAAATCCAACTTGTTCGCGTGGAAATAGAGTAGAAAGAATAATCCTTTGAGGCAGAATCTCAAAGAAACACGTGCTTTACTAAAAGCTTAATATTGTCTATATTGAGGTAAAAATGATCTGAACATCACTTCAGTATAGTGGACATCAGCTTCAGCTTTATTTGACTTGTGAAGGTCGAATGCAGATTTAACAAAATGGGAATTTCGGGCTTTTTTAAAATTTTTTTTTTACCTGTGAATCAACTCCATCCATCCATTATCTTTACCCGCTTATTCCATTTTGGGTCACGGGGGTCGCTGGTGCCCCTGTCCAGCAATCACTGTGCGAGGGGCGAGGTACACCCTGGACAGGTCTCCAGTCCATCACAGGGACACAGAGACAAACAACCATTCACTCTCTCACTCACACCTAGGGACAATTTAGAGTTACCAATCAGCCTAACATGCATGTTTTTGGTCTGTGGGAGAAAACCGGAGCACCCGGAGAAAACCCACGCATGCACGGAGAGAACATGCAAACTCCACCCAGAAAGGCCCCTGGACCGGGGTTTGAACCAGGGACCTGCTCGCTGAGAGGCAGCAGCTCTACCAGTTGCGCCACCGTGCTGCCCCGTGAATCAACTTTGTACAGTAATAAAACAACGGATACAACATATTTACAGTATGCGTTAAACAGTGTAAGACCTATAGGTTTTTTTTCCTTTTCGAAATAAATGTCACATTGTTCTTATTTTCTGGAAGAAAAAAAAATCCCTTTTGCTCATCGACTTCCTTAAAGGTACTAATTGTGGTGTCATGAGGACCAGTCAAAGTTTTCTTAACTAAGTAACAAAATTTGCACATATTCTTCTTTTGAACATAACATTTTGTTATTGTCTGTTTTGCGAGCAGCGTTCTTGAACGGTGTGCGATGTGTCTCACTGCAGTTGCAGAGTTACTTTGCGGCCTGCGAGGATGAAACTCCAGCTATCCGAAACCACGACCGGGTCCTTCAGCGCCTCTGTGAACATCTGGACCACGCTCTGCTGTACGGGTGAGACAAGTTCGATATGGAAACAACTAGATCTGTGTGTGAACCAGATCGTTTTCATTTTTCGTTCACATACGTGCGAATGGTACAGCCATATTTAAATAAATTTAAATAGAAGGTTATGAAAATATTAAACAAATCGTTTTACTTTAAAAATTTGGGTTTTTTACCAACTAGCTTCTGATACACTGAGCGTCAGTGTTCTTTGTGTTCATTGTCCACTCTGACAGTACTGTGCAAAAGTCTTGAGCCAGCAGACATTTGTGTATTTTTTTTTAAGTGTCACTTGATCATTTCTGAAAACTTTCTGAAGGTTTTCACTTTTTTTTTCTTTGATTTTCATTGGATCTTCTGCGATTTCACTGATTTCAGCTCAGTCTAAATACCTATCAGCTTCTGAGGAATATGCTTTTTGTTTAAACTACTCAATACTGATTTATGAATCATTAAAGCATAAATAAATGAACCAGTGTTCTGTTCACATGTTGCAGACATTGTGGCAAAAAGTGAGTTTTGAATTGTATTTTCATACTCCTTCTACCTCCATCCTGTTAGACACAATTTAGTCCCCACTCTTTGTTGCATCTACAACAAAAGCAAACAAATATAAAACAAGTTGAACAAGATTAAAGTAGTATTTTTCCCCACCAAGGTGTTTTGGATTATTCCTCGCCTGAGAACTGTGATGCTAATACAAGATGCTAATATTTAAGCTTGGTGTAGATTTAAATTTGGTGTTATTCTTCATGAATAAAAACACTTTCTTATTGTTTTAGGCTGCAGGACATCTCGTCAGGATACTGGGTCCTGGTCGTCCACTTTACAAGGAGAGAGGCTGTCCGACAGATAGAGGAGCTCAAGCACATAGCAACCAACCTTGGTCGAAGTGAGACATCTTTACTGCACAGTGGATGAGGCGTCACTCTGCATCATCATTTATTACTCAGTGAGTTACGTAAGCTCTGTTCTCTGCAGGCCGTGCATGGTTATACCTGGCACTGAGCGAGAGCTCTTTAGAGAGCTACCTGCGCCTCTTCCAGGAGAACCAAGGACTGCTGCAGAAGTATTATTTCAAGTAAGCACAAGATCAGTTTTTACCCTCAGAAATGTATTTATTCTTATGTCAATGGGAGTTTTTAAACGCTGAATAAACTTTAACCGATGTCCTTTTGCAGAAATGCTTTGGTTTGCAGTCATGACCACCTCACACTCTTTCTCACCCTGGTGTCCGGACTGGAGTTTATTCGCTTTGATCTGGAGCTGGTCAGGATCAATTTCATACCAGTATTATCGTTCTGCAACTATTTATTTATTTTTTTAATAACTTTTTGTTTTCATCGTGGTGGTTCAGGATGTGCCCTATCTAGATGTGGCCCCATACATGCCTGAGTATTACAAACCACAGAACCTGCTGGACTTTGAGGAAAGGCTGCCCAGCTCAGACAGTATTTCCCTACACTCCTTCAACTCCATGACGTCCACCAACCTGGAGTGGGACGACAGTGCCATAGCTCCTTCCAGTGAAGGTACGATGCACTGATTTTTCCTTAATTCATATATATTTTTTCCTTTTTACCTAATTTGAATAAAAATCTTAATTATGAGACGCTGTTTTTCCCATCGTCCGATGTGCAGCTGTATCTAAAAGCAGTTTAATTTTGTACTCATCCCTAGTTTCTACTTTCCTACTGATTGAATAGCCAGAAGATAGTTTTTATGTTAGTTTTAGCTGTGTTCAGGGCCTGTATTTGCATGCTGTGGCACAGATACATGAAGTAACGTGTAGCTTATGAGAAGATGAAGTAGCTGGAGTGCAGATTATCAGAGGGATCACGTGACGTGCAGGCGGATGACTGCAGATGCTTTTTGGGGGTTTGATTGCAGCAGTCAGTCTCTGCAAAGTACTGAGCCGGTTCCTTTTTTTTTTTGTTCCAACTTCTCTGTTTTACCCCCATTCATTTTGTTATTTCACATTTTACATGTTATGTTTTACTGTTTTTGTGCCATTGACTCTGTCTCCTGTCCTGAATTCACTCCACTTTAATGTTGAACATTATCCCTCCTTTTTATTTTAGATTATGATTTTGGTGACATGTTCCCCGTGTTGCAGTCATTGCCGAGTGCAGACTGGGAAGGTGGGACGTTGGTCAACCCTCTGCTCCTCATTTCCACTCCCTGTTCTCTGTCCCACTTCACTCTTTTCTAGCATGTGTTTGTGCATCGTTTGTGTTTAAAGCATTCTTGGTGCTCGACGTTATAAAACGGCTAACTGGAGCAAAGTATTACATCTGAAATTTAAAGGATTAGCTCAAGTAAATAGACGTGGATAAAACAATTCTTATTTGGAAGACTTAGTTTAGTTTCTAATGAATATTAGATTTAGTTGACACATCTGATGTACTTTTTTGTATCACCAGCAGACATTAATCAACATAATCTGCCACAGTTCGGAGTAACCAAACAGGAAGCTAGTATCCTAATTTTGATATTAAGATAAACACTTCAGGAGAAGCAAAGTTCTCTTGAAGTTATTCATGACACACCAGGGTTTATTTATTAGAAATACATCCCAAACATTATTTTCTTTCCGCTATATGTTGATTAATGTCTGCTGGTGATACAAAAAAGTA